GAGGGAAGAGGGAGGAAATAGAAGAGGCAATCTGCTAAACGGGGAGGGGTAATAAATGACTGTGTTGACAGAAAGTTAGGTGCGCTTCGAGAGCAGGACGCAGGCAGGGATGAGTTGAGTCAACAAAGAAGAACTTGATTGAAAGGTGAAGGTCACAACGTAGGGATGCAAGAATGAACACGGGCAATACGGTAAAAGAAGAGTCAGTAGGTGAGGAAATGAATGAATGAACGAATAAATGGTAATTGTCGCGAATTTACCAAGCCCGCATCCGACACAGACAAGGAAATCGCGGCAATTAATGAGCCGAACACGAAGTGCTAAGCCATCACCGCACCAATTCAGATCCAAGCGATGGCTACAGGAGTGGATAATTACAGTACGCAGGCGGATGACCGCTAAGGACTATAAATATCGTGCAATCCGTGCATGTTTCACCCCTATCTGAGCAGGACTCAGACTATTGTACCATTACCTATGATTAAGGATTCTCGACGGAATCCGAAAGGTCAGGACAATAAAACTCTTGTTCCAGAGGTCGCATCTCCTTCTTCTGCACTGCTTCCTGGAACTCGCATATTCACCTCTATTGGCAAATGAATAACTGTGTTCCTCCTTCTCCGACTGCAAGACCAGGTTGAGTAGAGCTGACCCTATCCGAAAGAGACTAACATATCTTGGACAATAAAAAAAACTCCATTCATGACAACCAAAAAGCCCGTCAGTCGGAGTATAGACAGGAAAGGGACCGGGACGGACCCCCTAGAAGTGCCGCACACGACAGTTTCCCATAATTCGAAAGAGGAAATGTGGCACAGATTTGGTCTCTTTCTCTCTATCTCCTCCCACGCCATCGTGTTTCCGCGGCAGAACATAACCAAGTCGACCACGAACGAGATCTGCGCAACAGCTGACCGGATATCTCGCTTCCAGACATGGAGCCAGTGTGCACCAGACCTAATTTATGCGTATATTGCGCGCGCGTACGAGTCGCTACAAGGCACTCCGTGCCGAAAAATGAGTTATGCTGACAATTGGTCA